TACTCTTTAGTATCTTCATCAATGACATTGACAGCAGGGTCAAGTGCACTCTCAACAAGTTTGCTGACACCAATATGTGGGGTGCAGTCGATGCACCAGAACCTAAATGAACTTGATCAGCAGGCCCATGTGAACCTCATGAGGTCTGACAAATGCAAATGCAAAATCTTGCACCTGGGTTGAGGCAGCTCTCACTACCAATACAAGCTGGGGGATGAAAGGATTGAGCACAGCCCTGCTGAAAAAGACCTGGGGCTACTGGTGGGCGGGAAGCCGGACATGAGCCAGCAATGCATCCTCAGCCCCAAAAGCCAACTGTATCCTGGGCTGCATCGAAGGAAGCGTGGCCAGCGGGTCTGGGGAGGTGATCCTGCCCCTCTGCTCTGCACTGTGAGGCCTCACCTGGAGCACTGCGTCCAGATGTGGAGTCCTCAGTACGGGAGAGACGTGGACACAAAAAGGTCCACGCCAGGATCCAGCTGTGGTGTCCCTGTGCATTGCAGGGGAGTTGGAGTACATGGCCTTTGAAGGTCCCTTCCAACTCTAAGGATTCTGTGATTCTAAAAACACCAATCCCAAGAGAGACACCTGCTCATCACTGGCCACCACCTGCGCATAGAGCCATTGACCACAACGCTCTGGCTGCAGTTGTATCCAAATAATTCTTTATCCACTAAATAGTCAACTCTTCAAATCTTCTCTCTCCAAGTTAGAGATAAGAGTGTGGTGTTGAGCCATATCAAAAGCCTTGCAGAAGTCCTGGGAGATGACATCAGTTGCCCTTCCTTTGTCCACTGATGCTATCCTATCATCATAGAAGGCCACCAGACTGGTCAAGCCTAATCTGCCCTTGGTGAAGCTAAGCTGGCTGTTGTGGATCATCTCCTTGTCTTGCATGTCCTTTAATGTAGCTTGCAGGAGCGTGTGCTCCATGATCTTCCCAAGCACTGACGTGAAGTTCACTGGCCTGTAGTTCCCCAGGTCTTTCTTTATCCCTTTCTTAAAAACAGGAGGGACTTCACCTGACAGCTGTGACTTTCCATATGTGATGGAATACAGCTTGGCCATATGAGGATGAGGGCAGAGGCAGAGACAGATCCTTATCCATAGGCAGTGGTACTTCACAGATCTCTGAAGAAATGTGGTAGTACTGTAATACTCTTTAGTATTATGGCAACTGTTTTTTTATGTCAGTATTGTGAAAAATTCAATGCGTTGTCTGCTACCGCCTTGTCTTGCGCATGAGTTTGAGAGCAGAACAAGCCTTTAGGTAAGATAAAGTGCTCCTTCTACAACAGTTTACATAGAGAAAGTGTTTCCATATCTGTTGGGTGCCTTGGGTTTTCGGTGGGGAGATGGCAGTTGCAGGAATAGTGCAGTATCTACATATGATGTAGGATACGAGAGTACAAGAAGGGAAGGGAAGGAGTGAGGCGCGTGAAGGGGTGCGATCAGATGAGCTGCCCGCGGCGCTGCAGCACTTGCTAGAGCTGGCTCCTTCTGTTTGGTCCTTTCAGTATTTCAATGTTTAACAAAGGAAACAGAAAGAAATTCAAGGGTGTCAGACTTAGATCAAGAGTAGGCCTGGCTTGCCGACCTCGTTCTCAAGTTTTTAAGGTGTTCTATGTGGAATCAGAACAGGGGGCCTGCAGTGTGATCCATGTGGCCAGTCAGTCTCCATGGGGAGTGAAACACGAGATGCCGGGATCTTCACTCTTCTGAATGACTGTCAAATGTCTGGGGATGATCAACAGGCAACAGCAGGCCCCCTTATTTGGAAGAAGGCCACAGTTTGTAGATTGACAGAACGGAAAGATCTTAAATACAAGCTCAAGTGTGAAGCCTGTTCTGGGCCATTTGTTTCTACTGCATTTGCCTGGGTCAGAAAGTGGGAAAGGGGGCGGCTGCTGTGTTTCAGCAGTTTTCATAGCTCAGTGTTTATGAGAGAAAATGTTTTCAGCTCTGCACACAGCCTCCATTTTGCCTGTTTGCTGCCTCCTGCTGCCTCTGTTCTCAGTGGCCATACCCATACTCAATCCCCTATGTGAATACTTGCTGAAGCCTGCCTGGCTGGCTGTGCTGCGCTCTCTCCTCTTGACTTTCCCTCTCTGTCCAAACCAATTATAGCTCTGGTTCTTTAGTGATCATTCCCCTTCTTTCTTCCTTCCTTTTCCTTCAGGCATCCAGGCACAAGGAATATCTAAGACTTGTAATGACCTGGGAGGGCCCTGAGCTGGGGCTTTGGGAACTACGGAGGATGTGGGTTGCTAATTTGGAGATGCAGCTAAGCACTGTTGCTTGGGGTTTGCAGCCATAATAGATGCTTTTTTACTGTAAAATGTAAGTTGGAGCATAACGTAAGAGCAGCTTTTCTGGCTCAGAAAAGGTTCCCCTGGGCCTGCAATGCTACTTCTAGCAGCAGCTGTAGCAGATGGCTCCAGTAGGCAGTGACAGGATGCTGTACAAAGCAGCAGTCTCCAAACTCTTTTGGTCTTGCATTCCTATCACAAAGCAGCAGTCTCCAAACTCTTTTGGTCTTGCATTCCTATCATTACTAATATGAACAGAGATTAAAAAAGAAACGAGACAAAGATGAAATAATCTCAATTACAAAAATATTTTTAATGGTACAAAAAATCTTTTCTTCCTGCATCCCGCTGCACCCCTTGGGGTGCACACATCCCACTTCAGTGACCATGAGGATACTTTTCCCACATGTTTTTTCAGTCTTCAACTGTTGATACCTCAGAGAAGTTTTAAGCCAAAAATATTTTCTGTGTCTTTAACACCTCTTTGAAAAGTAGTTCCACAGACTCACTGCCCACTGTGTGAAACCACCCTGTTCTGTCTATGAACCTGACTCCTTGTGGGTTCCTCTACTGGCTGTGGTTTATGCACCAGATGGGACAGTGAACAGTCAGTCTCCATCTGCCCTCTCCAGGCTGCTTGTGATTTTGCAGAGCTCTTGAAAATGCCCGCTTAAGATTATCGTCATAATTTACTTTTACCTCATTAATATTCTATAACCAATTATTTATCCATAATGGATGCTATGGCCTCATAGTTTTATGAAAAGAATCTGTAGAAAGAATCACACAGATTCACAGAATTGTAGGGGCTGGAAGGGGCCTCTAGAGATCATCCAGTCCAACCCCCTGCCAAAGCAGTTCCCTACAGCAGGCTGCACAGGTAGGTGTCCAGGCAGGTCTTGAAATCTCCGGAGGAGGCTCCACAGCCTCCCTGGCAGCCTGTTCCAGCGCTCCGCCATCCCCACTGTGAAGAAGTTCTTACATTTGTGCGGAACTTTCTGTGCTGCAGAGAGGGTTTGCAGAATCACATAATCCCAGAACTGTAGGGGTTGGGAGGCACCTCTGGAGCTCCTTTGCTCCATCCCCCATGGCAGCTCTCTGCAGCACTTAGTTGCACAGTGTCCAGAAGGGTTTGGGATCTCCACAGGAGACTCCCCCACCTCCCTGGGCTCCGGTCCAGGGCTCTGCCACCCTCACAGCACAGCAATTCCTCCTCACGTTCAATGAACTCCCTGGGCTGCAGTCTGCGCCCGCTGCTCCTCGTCCTGGCGTCCAGCACCACCAAACGGAGCCCGGCCCCCTCCCCTGCCCTTCCCTTCAGCTCTCCATCGGCACCGCTCAGGTCCCTCAGCCTTCTCTCCTCCACACACGCAGCCCAGGGCTCTCCCAGGCCCCACCAGGAGCTGCTCCAGGCCCCACCATCTCCGCATCCTCCCCTGGGTTCCTCCAGCAGTTCCCATCTGCCTGGACCTGGGCAGCCCAGCGCTGGGTGCACTGCTCCAGCCGTGCCCCCCCAGGGCAGGGCACAGGGGGGGGCATCACCTCCCACACTCTCTGCACTGCATTCCAGGCCCCCTTGGCCACCAGCACACACTGCTGGTCCACAGTCAGCTCTGGTCAACTGCTGGTTGCCTGTCGGCCACCACGACCCCCAGGTCCTTCTCTACTGCGTTTCTTTCCAGCAGCTTGGCCTTCATCCTGTACTGATATTGCAGTTATTCCTTGTCACATGTAGGATTTTACACTTGCAATTTCAAATTACTTTTATGTATGATAGTTTTTATTTATATATTGGTTCAGATGTATACAATGTGTGTGTGCATTGTGTATTTTCACAGATAGGTAAAGATTTCTAATAAATACTTTCATTCCTCTTAGAGTGAAACTAAAATCTTTCCGCTTTCCTGTTTTGAGGAAACAATTATTTTAATGGTGTTTTTCCTTGAGGAATATAAACCTCAGTATGGCATCAGCTTTCCTGAGAGTCTTGTTCAGCATTAAGTTTGCAGTCTCACCTAAAGGGAAATTTCAAAGCATGGTGAAGTCAACGTAAATGTCTGGACTTTAGAATACCTGCAGGGGCTGCTGACAAAGTATCATTTCTTTTTCTTCTTGATCAGAGACATGACCTTTTCTTGAGGGTTCTTGTCATATCATAGACTTGGGATGCTCTCCAGCATAGGTGGAGGCAAAGGCTTTCACTGGAAAATGCTTTACTGCAGCGCTTCCGTAGTTCAGCTCTGCCTGTTGTAGTGTCCCTACTGATCACAGCAATCAGTGGGTCCATTCAAAATCTGCAGTACTGTAGAAGTCACAAAGCTTTTGCTTTGATTGGCATGTGGACTGCACCTATTTGAACCGTGTGTTGCATGCCGTGCCAGCTTTGGTAAGAAGGTAGAGCTGTCTGCTGTAAGCTGGCCTGAATGCTACTGACCATTGCTTTCCCATGAGTGCTTTCCCATGTCCAGTCTTCTGCATCTCTGTTTCCCGTCCCCATTATCACTGTGTTCTGCTTTATGATGTCCAGGGAGTTCCAATTCAGATCTCTTGTGCTCTGTGTTGCTGCTTATATGTAAGGTTGGTAAAAATGGGGAACTTGCGGGAGCTGCGTGTGATTGTGTACAAATATTAATGCAGCTGGAGAAGCAGGGACCAAACTGTCTCTTTTTTTCTGTTTTGCTTCTTCCCTAGCGACCTGGGATGCCATCAGGAGCTCGAATGCCCCACCAGGGGGCTCCCATGGGTCCCCCAGGCCCTCCATATGTTGGAAGCCCCTCGGTGAGACCTGGAATGCCCCAGACTGTGATGGAAACAACGAGAAAACGTACTGCACCACAGCAGGTCCAACAGCAGCAGGTGCAGCAGCAAGTGCAGCAGCAGCAGCAAGCTACTCAGAACCGAACCAGGAGGTGAGTATTCCAGAAAGGAAGGGTGGGGAAAAAAACGAGGAAGAAAATCTTTATTTAGTAATAAGTAAGAGCTTTAAGATTGAATGAGACAAACCAGAAGATTTACATAGCATCAGTTTCTTAAAGCAGGAAAAAAAATGGTAAATTTTACTCCATACTTTGCTTAGGAATGATCTCTAAAGACAGTGACCTTTAATAAAGTCTGTTTCTGCTGATGAAATGCTTTCAGCTTGTGGGTATATCAGGCTATAGAGCTGGCCATCACATTTAGCCCATAAAGTTAACGATCAATTCGTTTCTAATATAATGCAATTATTGTGTAATTTGTTATCTGTTCTCTACGTTTCTGTAATTTCTGACTGGCTAACAAATTGGTTTGTAAACAAGAGACAAGTGGAAGAGATTTTTTTGTTGGTAGTGTCAATACTTGATATGTTCACTCAGATGAGTGGTCATAAAACTTGCAATTTGCAGGCATTGCTGCGTTTAGGGATAGAGGTACCCATGGGAATTTTTCTACAATCTGAGAAGTTTGTTTTTTTTTTTTTTTTAAGGAGCTTTCTTTCAATTATATGCATGCTTTGTACAGTGCTGATTACATTCTGTCTTAAATCATATTTTTCCAGTTTCTTTCTGCAACTGATTAGACCTTATCATACTTGTGTTCTGAGGCGAGAGCCAGTTCCTGATAGGGTGCAATCACCCAGGTTTGACTGCCTTTTGCAAGATTCCTGTGGGCAAATATAGGATCATACAGTGTTCAAGTGGGGTCATCGTACCCGGCTTTATGTAAAACATGATTTCCTAAGATCAGTGCTTCGGGAGCCCTGCTCTACTGTATGGGCCTTGGGTTGGCAAGCCAGTCTTGAGAATGCTTATGTCTTGGATGCATCTGGAAAGGACACAAGTCCTGAGAGAATTAATATATTAAGGTTCAACAAGATTAAATATAGATAGAAGGAATGTGTGTGGGTGCAGCATGAGATGCATGTGCGTCATGAAGGCCTTGCCCATGCACCAGCAAAAATGTGCATTCCATGGCACCTCCCAGGAGATCCTCCAGGAAGCTGCACATGAGAACGCGTAGCGCTCAGACAGATGGGATGGAGACAGCCTGAAAATGCCGCAGCGGGATGATGAAGTTAAACTCCAGTCGCTAACCAGTTTCCAGGGGTAATGGAAGAAGAATAGTTTGTTTCCTGAAAGTCAATGCCATAAATGACAGAAGGAAGCAGTTCCTCCCTCCCCGTTCTTAAGTTCAGTTTTTAATTTCTAGCAATTATCACCACTATTGTGAGCCCAGTTTACACCAATGCATGTTAGGTTCTCAGGGAAGTTTCTGTTCCTTTGCTGTGCTGTCACTCCAGGCAGTGTTTTCAGTGTTTTCCCCTGGTTCATTCCCACCTCCCTGTCATTTCCCATTCCCTGAAAAACTTCCCTAGTTTTTCAGGCAGACTTTTCTGGAAAACGTTGGGTCCCATTCTGGGATTAATCGAGCCCCATGTTTCATGGCAATAAAGGGCCAAGAAAGTGTAATTTTCCTTTCTTGCCAGGTTTGAAGGTCAGAAAGCAGGTAAATCTCTTTTTTGTAACAGAGTCATGGAGAAGTTTTTAGAGCCAAGTTGTTGGGGTTTTGTCACGTTTGTTTTTGCTATTTAGCTGGAAGCCTTTGGGGTTGCTGTGGGTGCATGTTGCACTTCTCTCTGGAGGATGGAGTTTGCTCCAGAATCTGCAAAGAGTTTCAGTGCAGTTTCAATTTTTGTCATTTGCAGGAGGTGCTGGAGATTTAAACCCCATGTTTAATGTTCCGGTCCCATTATTTCTGCACTTTTAAAAAAAGGGTTTTGTTCATCTGTGAAATTGTGTGTGACTGCGTGCGTAAATTTTCTGCCCAAGGAAGGATGTAGTTTTCACCTCCAAGAACAGAGAGTTCCTCAGAGTTAGGCTTCTGTGCAGACGGGGAGGACTCTGGTATTTCAGGCCAGGCTTATTATTAGCAAAGGTGAGAAGGGAGTTGGCCACACTGGTGTGTGCAGAAGCAGCTTTGATGTGGACGAGGCTGACGACAGAATTCCCAGACGAAAGCTGTGTGGAAGGGCGTCCCGTGACGTAGCAGATCGGCAGCAGGCAGTCGTCTTTGCCTCGTTGGTCTGTGTCACAGATGGAGTGATTAACCTTCTGCTTAAGATAAAGGCTTCACAGCTCATGGAGGTGAAGAGTAAGGCTTGAATTTCTTCTTGGCCTTGCTAGAGAAAGTGAGGTGACAGTTTGATGGGAGCAAAAGCTTTTCAGAATCTGAAGGCTTCAAAATACAATGTATTTGGCAGTCTTCCCAGCAGTACCATTTCTGAGGCATATATAGATGTGGCTGTATGCGTGCGAACACAGGAGTGTGTTTAAAAGCATGCAGCCATAAATGTGCTTGTGTTTGGGCACGGACGCAGCATGCATACGCACTACCGGCACACGTTTATCTTCTCGCATTGACATTCATAACATGAATGATGAACAAGCATGAAAACATAAACTGACAGCGTTGAAAGTCATTCATTTCAGTGAAACGAGTGTATTTATGTAAGGGTGCTTAAATAGGTGTGTTTTCGTACACAAATGAACATTGCCACTCAATTTGGGACGTAAATGAATGCATGCTCAGATCCATTTGAACAAGATCACATTCAGCTTACAGGCACTCACCTCTTCCTCGTGTGTGGACGTAGATATGTTTGTGCACACTGCCACACACGTGCTGTCCTTCGACATGCTCTTTCTGCATCCACGGATGGCATGTGCACACGTACTTGCATACACTGCTGCTCTGCACCGTAGGAGATGCTGTGATCAAAGAACTTGCGTACTTCTTTCCAAGATGCATAACAGCCTTGATTTGTTCTTAGCTAACTACCTCCCCAGGCTGCTGAGAGAAGGGGTCCTAGGTCCCGGGCATGGGTGAGACCCTTTTGCTGATGCATGCACAGCTGTGCACCAGCATGTGGAGATGTCAGGATAATTTAGCAGGTGGCCTCGTTACTCCTAGATCTGTCACCATGGTAACGTGTTTTTTTCTTTAAAAAATGTACAGTGCCAAGAGGAGGAAGATGGCTGACAAAATTCTCCCTCAGAGGGTGAGTCGCTTTCATTTCCTATTCCCTTCACAATCAGTTCAGCATCTCAGCGTAATTAGAGGGATTTTATAAAATACTTTCACTTTTTGTTTAAAAATCTAATTAAAAAGTAAGTAGGCAGTGGGTGAAAGTCTGGAGAGCCAGGCTGGGGCTGGGGCTGGGGGCTGGGAGCGTGGGGTGCAGCCTGGCCTGTGTCATCCCCTTGTGCTGGGCTAGCTGTGCCAGCACTGCCACTTGCTGGATGGACGGTGCTGCTGGACTGTGAAGTACATGACTTGATGCTGGGGCCCTTCGAGGCTTAAAGATGTTTTTGATCAATTTTTAAGGCTGGTTCAGAGAGCAGCTGTGCTTGTAGGAGGTGGACTTGTTCTTAGTTCTCCCTGGCCCAGAACACCTGACAGCTCCTAATTTTTGCAGTTGCGTCTTAGAATCTATATAAACAGCAGAGTTCAACAGGCCTGTGTTATTCGGGTATTAATTCTCTTATCTCTGCAGATATGTCTATCTTTTAGTTGCTGAATATGCTTGATCCTCAATGCTTAATCTTCCACTTCCTTTTTAAACACAAGGATTTCTCTTTCATTATTCCCAGGCTTCTCTGTTTCTGTCCCCTACTTAGTACAGTTCTCCTAAAACCTGGATGGTCCCAAAGGACAAGACCCTCAAGTCTTCAAAGCGCACACACTCATCATAAGGTAGTCCCGGTTTCTTTGGCTTCTGCTGATTTTCTGGGCTCAGAATTCTTTTCAGAGGTGTGTAGCTCTCTTCTTCAAGTCTGCCTTTCAACTGCTGGCGTAAACCCAAACTGTACAGCAACCTCCTGATTCTCTTCTGTGACATTCCAAGGGTGCCCAGTTACAACCAGTTGAAGAAACGAGTCCTTTTTGGTACACCTAATAGCAAATGTTCACTTCCTGTCACTCTGTGGCAGTACAGGCTTCATGAGTTAGCCATTCATTTTCTCATGCTGCTGTCTTGAAAGGAGAAGGCTGCCACGAAGTCCAGAGCTTTGAACTACTTTGCAGTCTCCATGGTGTGTTAAAGCCTCATTCCTTCTTAGGGTCTGTACTTTCTTAGAGTGAAAGCCACATTTCTTGTCTGTCTCACAGTTGTTTTTCAGAGACAATCATCCTTTATGGATGGCATTTTAAACATATGAATACTTAAAAGCTTAAAAAAAAAACACACTTAAAAGAGGTAGCCAAACTTCTCTGGCAATAGAAGACTTACCACCTCTTTATCAAGTCTGTGATAAGTTTTAATGGATGGAGCCTACCCTTCATATAAGTCAAAAAGCTGCACCAGTGCTTGCACCATTCAGAACCACGCTGTCACCAAATCTTTCTCGCTTTCATTACCTTTGTTACAGCCAGCCAGTAATTTTAACTGATGCAGTAATAAGACAACACAAATTGCTAGAGTCCTGTCAGTAATGGAGTTCTTATCAGTGCAGCTGAAGCGATGGTATCAGTGGTATGATTTTGTGTCTGGACTAAAGTACTTCTTTAGGCACAGTCAAGTGTATCAGAACCTCCTGATTCTCACCATTCAGGAGACAGCGAAATGCTGTGTAAATCAGCGTCCTGTCAAGTGGAAGATTTGCACTGTGGATAAGGAATGAAATGAAACAGGGTAGAAGTTCCAACTTCCCAAATCTACTTCTGGAGTGATTTTCAGCCAGTCAGCATTTTTTGCTGCCGGCATTCTGCAGACTCTTTCCTGGGAACTGTGAACTGTTCCATTAAACACATTTTCTGCTGAGAACTCTTATGTAATAGAGAGGGGGGTGAGTCCTCAGGGTCAGTTGCTGAGCGGGCCAGGCAGCTGCATGGCTGACCAGCTGCGGGACTTCAGGTCCTGTACCAAGGCTGTGCCTGCTGCTGGCTGCCTGGGGCTGCTTTTCTGCTGCAGTGCAGCTGTTTGACATGAGCTTAATTTCATGTGGGTATCACTGTACAAGAACAGTGCAGCCTACCAAACCGCTGCACACAGGAAGGTATGAGGGAATGTAGGGAACTTCCTGTCACGTCCAGTCTTGTTCACTCTGTCATAGAAGCCATCGCACGCAATTACTGCCTCAGGATTAATTAGCTTCCTTACTTCTGAGGTATTTCAGATTTGGCAGCTTCTCCTCCACACTTTTTTTTGGTTGTTGTTAGGCTTAGCTAGGGCAGTGCTTTCAGTTTTCCAAATACAAATGGCTCCCTGTGTTTCTAATCCTCACAGTCCTTCATTATGTCTATTCTGGGCTAAATTCACATCTTTTAAACTTCTTTTAATTTAATTCTTGGGAAACCAGAACTGTACATATTGTATCACCAATACCTGAAAAGCACAGAAGCATTTTTATGTCCACTGGAAAGAGCAAGTGATGCCCATTAGAATTAGATTTTCTTTTTTTACAGCCTTTCCACATGATATAGCATATAGTCATTCTATGATTGACTAATACAAGTATTTCTATTTTTGCAAGTGATGAATTCCCATGTTAGAGCAGGAATTATTGGTATAGACTTTAAGGAGCATGATCCTGTGCTTTGTAATGTTATATTTCATCCCACTTCTACTGCACATTTCTAAGCTTCCTTACATCCTTTATCATTAAGTTTTGTTTTGTTAGTATACTTCTTTTTTTTTTTTTTTAAATGCTAGAGCTATTAATACAATTACCTGAACAAAATCGTTTTCAACACCAGTCCATGGAATACATTCTGCTTATTTTTTTTTTTCCATGCCACTTCTTTACCACATCATTTTTGTTCTAATGCCCACCTTTTCAGTCTTAGTAGCTCTTCCCTTTATGACTGCATGTTAAATGCTTTACTTAAATGAAGTAGACTGGATCTGCTGAGTACCTTTTGTCTAAAATGCAATTTTAACGAACAGAAAGAGACTTCATGAAGTGTAGGCTGACATACTGTAATATAACAAGGTTTAGAGGTTTTTTTTGTGCATTCAACGTTGATTACAGTTCCGTGCCGCAGCATATGTCATATCGTGTTTTCTTTACATCTGGATCCTTTCTTTTTTCTCAGGTCATTAATACCCTCATTCATTCTCAGAGCAGTTCGTAGGCATCTTCATTCATGGAGGCGTGTGCAGGTATCACCAGCTGACGTGGCCTTTGTGACCTGAGGCTATAAGGCGCTTCAGTTTTGAGCTCCGGCCACAAGCTGCCCTTTGGGAAAGGAGCGCACATCCCACGGCTCTTCTGTCTTCCGGCCACGTCTGCTCATCACTTCTGGTCACTGTCTGTCTTTTCCTTAGTTGGGAGTCATTACGTGCTTCTCCAGACACTGTCACTGTGATTCACTGTTCTGTTCTCCAGCTTTTATGCCTACTCACTCTGATGCAACAAGCTCCACTGAAAATTCTTCTGTCTCCACAGCTGTGCATCTCTTTTCCCTATTTAGCTTGCTGAGTGGAGTGCAACTTTAGAACAGGAAACTCTGCTTCCCTCATCTCACTGCTCACTGTTAGTTACTGTCTTTCTCAGTGCTTCCCAGATTCTTCAGAGAACTCCTTGTCTAGCTGTGTTGATGGGTTTTGATGCAGCTGTCCTTTTTAATCCCCTCTTCTTCATTCTCCTTTATAAACAGTCAGCTCCTGCTGCTGTTCACTGACCACTGCAAGGGATTCCTCTGCTCTGCTCTCATACTGTGATAGCTGTCCTGTTGTTTTGTGGTTACTGCATGACTGTTGTCCCCTTTTTCTCCACCTGTGCCAGGATGAAGTGAGACGTCTGGATCTGCTATTTGTTCATAAGGAAGAAATGGCAATCTTAGCAGTAGCAAAGATGAAATAATGAAGTGGAATTGGATCTGTGACCAAGAGATGGTAGTGGATGGATTTCATTTATCTTGGCTTTTGCAAATTTTTCACTTTTCCCCATTATATTCTCATATTCAAGTTGATACATTCTGGTGTAGTTAGGTGGACAACCATACAAGTTAAAATACAGTTGGATGATTGTTCTTAGAGAATAATGTCCAATGGGTCACGCAACCCATTGTGGAAGACAGGGATAAGCCAAGTATCACAGGGATCTGTCTTAGCAGCTGTTCTGTTCAGCACCTTTGTCACTGACCTGGAGGAGGCAGTTGATGTGCGTGCTGTATTATGCTGGGCTGTGTCAGCCTGAGCGATGCCATCCTGTCAAGGAAAGAGGCTATTCCCTGCTATGCCATACTTGTGAGACTGCACCTCAACTTCTGGACACAGGCCAGAAAGAAACTGAAGCCCACAGTGGGCCACGTGGGCCAGGGTGCAGCACATGTCTACCAAGAGAAGCTGCGAGATCTGGCTCCCACCTCCATCGTTCTTTTTTGTTTTTGGGTTTTTTTTGGCATTAGATACCATTCAGGAATTCCCTGATTAACTCTGCTCATCTTTTGCCAGGCCTTCTCAACTGTGCACACTGGTCTGGATTGTTCCCCTGTGCTTTGAAAAGACTGTCCTTGAAGGTCAGCCCACCTCCCCTGAGCTCCTTTGTCCTTTGGGGATCCCTGTCGTCTCATGAAATCCTTCTGAGCAAATACTTGAATATGCCAAAAGCTGCTCTTCTGAGGCCCTGATCTTGCTCTCTTTCAGAGCATCCCAAACTCCACTGTCTCATTCTTTTTCTGCAGCTGGGGCTGCCTTTAATCTTCGTATCCACAACCAGTTCTTCCTTCCTTGTTTGTAATCGGTTCAGCAAAGCACATCATCACCTGCGTTAAGAAGTTGTCATCAATCCAACCCAGAAATCTCCTTAGTGCTTATGCCTCGTGCTGTCCGTAGGCGGATGTCACGGTCCTTAAAGTCCTCCATAAGTATGAGGGTCTGCTACAGTGGAGCATTTTAAAGATGTTCCACAGGCTCTGTCTTCTCCTTGATCAGCTGGTTTGTAGGAGATGCATCCCACAGTGTCAGCTGCTTTAGCGCAACGCTCACCTTCTAGATGAGGCCTTTGTGTAGTGTGCAGCTGGTTCTCGTTGCCTTCCAAGACATCACATGCCAGT